TCGGGTTCAAAACATAGAACATAAAAGCTAAGACCGAAAGGTCTTCTGGAAAATGAGATAATTATCCGCTAACGTATTCATTTGAGAAACACAGGACTTCGATACGACAAAAGCCTCCATGATGTCTATTAGTGGAGCAATTTATGAACATTCCTCGCACATAGATACATCTAATTAACGTGCTTCCAATGTTTTAAACCCGATTATGATTTTGTAATGAAGTGTGTACATTAAATATCCTAGAATATATCTATATATATCTAGGGAGGGAGGGAGGGATGAAGGAAGAAAGAAAGAAAGAAAAAAGAAAAAGAAAGGAAAAAGAAAAAGAAAGGAAAAAGAAAAGAAAGAAAAAAGAAAAATAGAATTAATGAAAAGAAAGAAAGGAAGAAAATGGAAAAGAAAAGGAAAAAAAGAAAAGAAAAAAGAAGAGAAGGAAAAAGATATAAAAAAAGCAAGCCGATTAAGCCTTTCAAATGATTTGTGTAATTCTTTACAATAATAGTAATATTCTGACATAAGAATAGCGTCAGATTTGACAACTGTGACAAGTATAATGTCTCAACATCAAACACCGCTCACAAATGTCACCTGCAATAACCCTTTTATTTTTATTCCTGGAATTTAAACATTCTTTATTAGAATTATCCTTCTTTTCCTCGTCTAGCTCTTAGTAGGGGTTAAAGCGCAATGGACGGACGTGACCGGACCATTTCTTGAAAAATAATCTTAGCCTACTGAACGCTGAGAATATCTCACTATGAGCCATCGCGAAAACGTGGCAGCTAAATAAGACTTTAATTGCTATTTATTGACAATGTTCCCTATTTCCGCGGCAATCCTCAAACCCTCATAAAAGCATCAATGAATTTAAATATTCAAAGATAAACATCGATTGGCATTTTCAGATTATTTCAATACACTCATGGTGAGAACAAGAATTCTTTTGTTTCCAGTAACATATACTCTCAAGATAATGTCCTCTTTGTAAACATTTTTTTTCCTTACAAAAACATACTCTTTTTCAAATCCATTAATAGCGAGAGTTTGAAAAGATTGTTTGGACATTGCAACGAGTGCTGCTGCCAGCTTTATACACTTGGCAAATAAAASTACAAACTGTCAATACAAACTATCAAAAGGATAAAAGAATGCCTCACACATCATTAAAATTAAGTACACAGCTTTGCGACATTAGAAATCAAATAAAGACAACTTGCCGCATAGCAGGTGTTTGGAAAATGCTCACGCTGGCTGCAGGTCAAAATCGAATTTAATACAATTTGTTTTTTCTCTGACTCACACATGTGCTGCTGCAGGGGATGAAATGATTATTCATCTGAATCACTCGACTTCATGGCTCTTGATCACTGGCTGATTCTGGTAATAAAACTTAGTTGGAACCCACTATCGATGATTCGAGTCGTCTAATTCTAGAGAGCTTGAAGTGTAGGAGCGAAAATAAGAGGTCAGACCTGTGAAGAGGATTCACGTCTACGTAGATCAAAATCGTACTTTTCTATTTGATAACGCGGAAATAATTCTAGACATTTGAACTTTATCGATAGACACACGGAATTTCCATCCTCTAGCATCCAAGAGAATTGATCCGGCCTGGAGTGAAGTCCGCCAGATCTATACTTTTATTAATTCATACGTACTGAGTTATTTGGTTCGTGAGAGAGAGTCCAATCCTGTAGAAATAATGTCTTCAGATCAAACCACAAGGCTCGCAAACGTTCTGAAGTCTAGGAGTGACTGGAGTGTAGGTTTAGAATCATCATTTTTCTGCATCATTAATTCAGTCACGTTGGTTGGCAACATCTTCGTGTGCTGCGCCATATGGAGAAACCATCGTCTGCGGCAAAACGTTTCTAACATGTTCATCTTTGCGTTAGCCTTAAGTGACATCTTCATGGCTCTCTGCATGCCTTCTTCCATCGTAACGCTCATCACTGGAAGATGGTCCCTCGGTGCAGCTTTCTGCCAGATCCAAGGTTTTTTGATTCTCACTCTAGCAATGGTTTCACTTCAAACCATGACACTCATCTCCATCAACAGATACTACTGCATCGTAAAGCGTGCCAAGTACCTACTGATGTTCAAGAAGCGACGTACGCGCTCGTATATAATGAGTCTTTGGCTCAACGCTTTGATCGCATCGGTGCCACCATTTTTTTTCGGCGTTGGGGGTTACGCATTCCAGCCAGGCAAATCGATCTGTTTGTACACTTTTGAGGCCAACATACCCTATACTATCTTTTTAGAGGCRGTTTACATTGCTCTTCCTTTGACAATCATCACGAGGTGCTACTCGGCAGTATTCAAAGAGGTTTATCGAACCAACAAGGTTTTTATTCAAACACCAGGAAATGCCAACCGAGTCAGAGCAAATGTCCAAGAAGCGAAAGTAACCAAGACCTTAGCTGCTGTAATCCTTGCATTTGGGACGTGTTGGGTTCCTATTAGTATAGTTGACATTATTGATGCTGTCAAAGGCCAACCATACCTCAAACGTGAGATCTATCTCACATACACAGCTTTGATATTCACTTCAAGTTTGGTAAACCCTTTCATTTACGGGATTTTTAACAGAACATTTCTATACGAGTATAAGAAGATGCTACGAGAAGTGTTGTGCTGTAGGCTTTGGGTGTGTTGTCCATCAGTACCACCCAGCGTTGTAAGCGATTTTGTATCATCACCAAATGAGAAGACAAATGATAAAAAACGGCAAATCAACAGTGGAGAGACGTCGGGAACTAACCCCGGGAATGACACAGGTCACAATCCAAATAGCAGTCCGCGTTTAATCAGCAACTAAAAATTCATACCATGATATATAAAACATGTCTAGTTTTGATGCGGAATAGATAACAGGARGAATAGAAATGAATTTAAGCTATATATTTTATAAGACTTCACAGTTTTAGGGGTGCAAGAAGATTGGTCCATTCCTAAAAAGAGACTTCAATTAAGTTGATTGAATGGAAAAAAATTGTGTTGAAKCTGATATAACGGGCTAAAATTAGAACTTCCTTTAGTAAGCTTTGTAACTCCAAACTGGAGGGCATTTTAAAAAGTCCTTGAGTGTACGAAGAACTTTAAGTACTTCTCGTTAGGCAAGTCAAAAAGATGTAAAATAAAGCAGACTTGGTAAGAGTGATTGGCGGGTTTGGGGACAAATATTCATGCGATGCAACAGAGGTCTTCCGTAAATGATATACATAGCTTTTGAATACTCAAAAAGTTTAATCTAAATGTACAAAAAATATCCACTTAAGGGAAACATGTAATGTAATTCGAGCACTGTAATCTAATGATCTATCGTGTCAATGATGCCGCTATACCGTTGTTTCTTTGAAAAGAAAAAAWTTTTCTAGCAAAATCCTTTTTATGCGACCGCACGTCCTATTGAGAAAGCAGACAAGTAGGCTCTTGGCTCTTCAGTGAATTCCTGAAATCAATTGGGCGAGTTACCTTGAATTGATCATTAGTTCTTTAGTCTTTTTGATAAATGAAGTACAAGTAATCGTCCAACAAGTGAATATCTGGGGGGGGGGGGGGAATCGAACTCATCTTTTTGGCTCTCAACGACAATCCAAGTATTAGTTCGGGAAGAATAAAAAAATACCTGCGAATATCTATAAACCAACATTTTTCTTCAATCAATTAGAGTATTTGTCGAAAAAAATAAAGAACATCCGTAATATGTATTTAATTTTCTTTGAAATATTGCACTGAAATATCTGATGAAGGGAAGTTTAACACCTGTCATCATAAAACTGGCTAATTTATTTTTCCTGTAAAATCCCAACTGTTACAAAAGTGAACTTTGGTAAATACCTACCGCGTGAAGAAAGTGATAAATCAGGTGATAAATCAGCTTCAGGTCACATTAGCCCTGAAATATCCCTGTTGCACAAACGTTTTAATTAGAAAAGGCAGATGAAACTTGACGAAGAAAAAAAGAAAGAAAGAAAGAATGAACAAAACCAAAAACAAAACAAACAAACAAACAAACGAACGAACGAACGAACGATTTAGAATTACATTAGAATGTACTATTAATGAGAAATTCAGCACTTTACAATCCCAAAATGAATTAAAAGTGAAAATGAAGTAYGACGCAAATGTAAATATCMCATCAATGATACGAACAAAAGCGATAAGAGTATTGCACAGTTTTACAGATAGAATAGAAAAACCTAAATCGCAAACTTATTCTACGATAAGAATCAGAAGAAAAATGAAAAAGCATATCACCGAAGAATAATTTTTCAGTTTTTACAAAACATTCTAGATWTCTTCATCATTCACCTATTATTATSAATTCAAATTCAATAAGTATTCTGAAGTTCTTCAGCCATTGTTAAAGCATTAATAACACGCTAGACCCCAAAAGTGTAAGAGCAAAACAGTTTCATTTCTATACAAAATAAAGAAACTAAAGCTTCCAGGAGTGAATAAAATGAACCCCGGAAACGGACTCTCTCTCATTACCGATCAAAAAACTATACCGACCAAGGAAAACGCATTTTGAATCACATTAAGACTATCCGTTTTTCCTACAGTCTCTAAAAGTCAATATTTGTTGAATATCGTTTTGTTTTGAAAGAAAATAATCGTTATATAGATATTTAGACTAGGTTTGTACACAAAGTGGATCTTGGTTGTGTAAACATATTTATTAATGTGTATAGTGCGGTGTTGTTTTAGAATAGAATATGAAATTAAAATACGGTATTTAGTTGTAAAAATGGATTCATTTTAGAGATATAGAGTAAATTCTGAGTGAAAAAATCGTTWTGAAAGCAAAGGCTTATGGCAACCAATTTTTATTTTTCAAAATTAAAAAGAATATTTTAAATTTTTAGGATTAGAATTTGTGGATTAGAAGTAAAAAATATCGTTTTGAAAACAAAGGGAAAGGCAATCACAATATTCAGTTTTTTAAACTTAGCATCCTGGAGGGAAGGAAAAGGGAATAGATCGACGATCGAGCGGATAGAAGGATGTGTTGTTTGGTGGGTAGATGCGACGGTTGAACCGCGGACGTATGAACGGATGGATATATGTGTTGTTTAGTGGGTGGATAAAGGTTGAACGGACGTATGAACGGATGGATAGATGTGTTGTTTGGTGGGTGGATAAAGGTTGAACGGACGTATGAACGGATGGANGGGTGGATAAAGGTTGAACGGACGTATGAACGGATGGATAGATGTGTTGTTTGGTGGGTGGATAAAGGTTGAACGGACGTATGAACGGATGGATATATGTGTTGTTTGGTGGGTGGATAAAGGTTGAACGGACGTACAAATGGATGGAATGATGTGTTGTTTGGTGGGTGGATAAAGGTTGAACGGACGTACGAATGGATGGAATGATGTGTTGTTTGGTGGGTAGATGCGACGCTTGAACCGCGGACGTATGAACGGATGGATATATGTGTTGTTTGGTGGGTGGATAAAGGTTGAACGGACGTACGAACAGATGGAAGGATGAGCAGAAGGGTAAGTTTGTGAACATGTTGGTGGACTGACAGAAGGACGGAAGGACGGACAGATAAACAAATAAAGCAAAAAATGAATGCAAAATGTCCCTTTAACTCCAAGACACATTGTTTCGGTTGAACACTTAAAACCCTTTGCGGAGGAAACCGCTCGAGACAAAGCATAACCTCTAACATATAATACCCGTAAAGGTGTAAATCAGAGAACAATTCCGTCTTTCAGGTTGCGATTTCATAATCATAATCACCGATTCACTAATAAAACTCAAATTAAACCATCCAATGTTTATGATAAAAATATAAAATATATATTCGATTCCAAAGATAATCTTGTTTTGCGGAATTAATGTTTAGGAAATATTCTTACTAGTATTAAAAAGGAATTGACTTAACAACAAGATGATTAATATAAAATATTAATCGAAGGCGGGTGATCCACGACAAAGAGAATGTTATTAAAGGCGCGGATCAAGAAAAAAGGATGAATTAGCCTATTCTTTGTTAAAGTCTACCAAAAATATTTGTTAAATTATTTTAAAATATAATTTTGGCTATCTTTCTTCCTTTCTTTTATTTTTCTAATTTCACTTACTCATTTCGATTACTACTCACTCAATCATTCATTCATCATACATTCATTCATTAACACCTTCCTTGCTTTCCATTTTCTCTTCATTCTCCATTTTTTCATTCATTAATTCATTCTTTCTATCTTCCTTCATTTTTACTAAATGRGTTAAAAGTGTTTTTAATGAAAATAGTGTTATCATATCAACCAACGCGCCAGTATTTCCTTTCTTTTCATTTATGACTTTATCATAGTTGCRAACTGTCTGTTTTCTCTTCAAATCCCATTATCACGTGTTCGGGTACATCATCACCGCCGTCAAGTAGAACATGGTGTTTAGGGGAATTTCCAATATCTAGTAAAATAAAAAACGKGAATCGCCGGTATTTATTTTTGTCCAAATGAACCATAATGTACGCTCGCTTGCAAAACGAAGAGAAAGGAAAAGGTGTTCGAATACATTTCTGGGCCTCGGGGCATATCGAATCTGATAATCAAAATAGACCTCGGCTTGGGCTTAATGTTTTCCCATATCAAACCACGCGTCATTCTCTTGAGAATGAASGACTAACGTCCGAAACGTCARTTTAACAAAGCCTGTTATGGTGATTCAATTTATCCACAAGTTCCTACTGTTTTATTCAGAAACACCGACGCAGTCCACACTAGTACTCTACTAGTTATCACCACTCTTGAGAATAAGGTTATTTGCTTTATTGTTATCAATAACTATGTGCCTTTTCATGCGCATTCACTAAATAAAGAAATTAAACTCCAGGGAATGACACGTGTTTTGAAATGGGAAAAACCTTCTGCTCAAGGCAATATAGGGCTTCCATACTGATGAATAGACACACGTCTCAAAACGTCTTTTTTTAGACATAATTTTAAGCACATCCACTATATGCATTATATTTATATATATATATATGCCCAATGTAAAGCCGTCTATTGAAGCAATACTGAAACCTCTTTAGCTTGGGTGTAGTGCTTCCCACATTTTAAACCACGAGAAACATTGAAATAGTCATGTAAAACTGTCACACTATCTGTTACTCACCAAGATGTCTACATAGGAATGCCCAAATTTCAAACCACGAGAAACATTGAAATAGTCATGTAAAACTGTCACACTATCTGTTACTCACCAAGATGTCTACATAGGAATGCCCACATGGCTTTTTTATATAGACTATCTGAAGTCTCGGAATCCAGTTGGTGTGATCTCCAAGTGGTAAACCACGATAAGTATTTACTTAATACGAAGACAATATCACATTGACTCATGTGGGATGTACTCCTACAACCAAAGATAACCACACGATAAATATTGACTTAATTATTACGAAGACAATACGATGAATATTGACTTAATACGAAGACAATACCAGATTRACTCATGTAGGATGTACTCCTACGACCAAAGATAGCCACACGTCATGGATTAATACCGCAATTTCGGGTGCATAAGGGGAAAAGAGCTCCTGTACCACCCCCTTCACGGAGGAGTGAGCAAATTATAGGGGAGGGGTATAGGGCAGGGGATGAAAATCCCTTAGACAGCGGTTTCGACATGCCTAGAATATTTATGTCACTATAGACACCTTACAGTAAGTCCCGAGAGGAATTATWCTGGGGGACAAAAACAAGGGATGTTTTTTTGCTTAAGGAAAGACGGTCTACTGTTTTGTCCCCTAGAACAATTCCTCTGGGAAATCAATGCAAGGGGTCTATAGCGCCGGTACTTTCAAGTGATTGGAACTCACCATGTTATAAGCTGAATTAAAATTTCTCTTATGTGATTGCTTTAATTTTTTTTTTTTTTTTTTTTTTTTTTTTTTTTTTTTTTTTTTTTTTTTTTTTTTTTNTTTTTTTTTTTTTTTTTTTTTTTTTTTTTGTGGTTTTTGCTTTCATTTTGTTGTTTCACCAACAAGCATTGAAGTCGTATCTTTTAGTAATGATGCAAACCAGGGATAAACCACTGTATGGAGAGATTTCTCATATTAACGCACACTCATTATAGCAGGTGCGCTGGTTCCATTTTTTTAACGGGCCTAATACCTGACAGCGACGACTGGTCTTGTTTCTGAAAAAAAAAAGTAAAATAACAATCACCATTATTGGTTTGTACGACCTATTTTTAACTGCTACAGGTGTACAGTTTGGTCATAGACCAGTTTRCGTTTGACTGTGAAAAAATTGGTGCCGTATGCGTACCGTGCCGTGACCGTGATAACGGATTTTTTTTCTCGCGCAATGTGATTGGTCTGGCAGTGCAGTGACATTGGCGTGATCTTGGCGTAACCGTGTCCATGCCGTGTTTATGCCGTGTTTCGGGCATTTGAGTAGGTGGAGAGCTTTAACATTGCACGAGAATTAAAATCCCATTGTGTCATTCTCCTGAGAATATAATTCTTTGTTTGAGTTGTATTCAAATTCATGTGTCTTCTCATGCACAATCGTGAAACAAAGAAATGATACTCTAGGGAATTTACGCCCAACTAGGCATATTTTAAAAAGACGCTCGTGTTTAATTAAAACAGAGTAAACTCTGATTAAAAGATAAAATAATCTCACCTGGCTTTCCTTGCACAAGTTTCTTCAGCTCGTTGACATTTTCTTTCCATTTATGGAATTGATAAGTATTAATGAAGAACAGAGGTTGATTGATCTCCCGATCATGTATCTCGCTGCCAAGGGGCATCATCCATACATCGAGTGCTACACCACACCTACGATACAATACATTATACGATACTGATGTCTTGGTTTCTAACTGTTTTGCKCGCATGTGAGCATACATTGTATCCGCGAATTATTTTTTTGCGGATACGAAAATGTTTGMGTCCACACGCAGCGTATTCGAATCGTTTTTACCGTCAACACGTATCCGTTTTCGTAAAATTTGCGGATACGGACACAAACATTTTCGGACACGTGTGGACGCAACCCGTATCCG